CTCTCTCTCTCTCTCTCTCTCTCTCTCTCTCTCTCTCTCTCTCTCTCTCTCTCTCTCTCTCTACCTTTACCTGACCTCTTCCCTTGCTCCGTGCCCCACCCAACCTCTGCCCTCCCTCCTCCTTCCATCTGCCCTCCATCCGCCCGACTTCATCCTGCCGTTTTTTCCCTTCCTCCCGGGCTCCTTCCACCTCCTCCTCTTCCTCTTCACGTTTTTGCCCATGCTCGTTTCCCCGTAACCTCTTCCCTTCCTCCATACCGCACTCAACCTCTAAACTACGTTCCGCTTTCTGTCCTCCCTTCGCCCAACTACTCCCTGCCGCCTCCCTTTTCTCCCGGCCTCCTCTGGAACTTCTCTTAAACCTCCCTCTGCCCTCCCTCGCCTGGCCACCTGACTCCCCTTCCTTCGACCAATCTCCGCCTGACCTCCTTCCCTCTATCTCCTCCGTCCTACTCCTTCCTCCGCCCGATTTGCACTGACCTCCTCCTTCCCCCAATCTCCTTCCTCCCCTTCCTTCCTTGGCCCGATCTCCACCTGCCCTCCTGCCTCCGCCCTACTCTCTGCCGCCTTTCCCCTCCCTACAGGCCTCCTCCGCACCTTCTCTTCAACCTCCCTCTGGCCTCCGTCTGCCTGGCCTCCTCATTCCCCTTCGCTCGCCCCCTTTGTTCCCCTGATCTCTGTCTGACCTCCTTCTTCCCTCGATCTCCCTCCCTCCCCTTCCTTCCTCAGCCCGATCACCACCTGACCTCCTACTTCCATTCCTCCCTCCGTCCTACTCCCTACCATCCCCTTCCTCCCTCGACCGGCTGCCCTTCCTTCGTAACGCATGATGTAAGAAATACTTCTTTTCCTTTATCCGGTGGACGAAAATACGCCATTTGTTATCAAGATCGCTCCATTTCTTTTAAAACTCAGCACTGTTGCACACGCGCAAGAAGGAGAGAGGGAAAGCAGGAGAGAAAAACGCATTTCACCCAACACACTTCCTTCGTCGCACCTTCTTTGTCCATGTCTGTCTCTTCCACCACCACGTCTTCTGCCTCCTCAAGATCTTCCTCCTCAACATTCTCCCTCAGTCTTTTCTTTTCGGAGCGGCCTTATGGTTAACTGCCCTGCGCCAGGTATTTCAGGCTATCGATATTTCTTTCCATATTTCACTCTCTTCCTCCCCAGTCCCTACACACACCACACTGAGTCAGCTCTCTCTCTCTCTCCCTCTCTCTCTCTCTCTCTCTCTCTCTCTCTCTCTCTCTCTCTCTCTCTCTCTCTCTCTCTCTC